AGTATACTTGCTGTCAAAGCTCACAAATTGCTAAAGTTTCAATAAACAAAATATTTAAAAAACTGAAAATGGGGCCTACAAATATCAGTTCCAGACTTTAATATGTTTTACTTTTTAACCTTTCATTTAATGCTTTACACCAAAATATATTTTAGATGGATGATAACTGTCTTTGCCTTAAATAACAGAATTATTTGTATATACACACTAAATGAACCACAGTTGATTGATCTTTACATTAAACTCAGTATTTTGTTTCTGTACAGGAGAATCTGAAGAATTTGGCTATACTTCAATCACTGTATGTCCCCTTAATAAAGAAGACCCATTTTTACAAAATAATTGAACATATATTTTATTTTCATGGCATTGATTGCATATATGTAACTGTTTTAAGTATTATATATGTCTTTGAGGATTTTTTGCTGTTATAGTAACAGTTTCTTGGTGACTTACACATGGTATCTGTCCTTTTTACACATTTGAAAAATCTCTTTCTATCTGTCATTCTTTTGACTTCTCCAAAGTACATGAACGCATTGCCCATCATCAGGTAATTATCTTTTAATATGTAAAAAAGACATTAAACTCTTAAACAATTATTAAACCAAAATAGTCATTTAAACAACTATTAAAGAGTATAATCAGTGTGTTCATGGGTAAGGTAAGCAAACAAAAAGAAAATGCCTGAGAAACTCACATGGCAGAGCAGTATTGACCTTGGCTTTAGTCAAAGGGAATGGTCAAGAAGACTAATGTTTAAGGGCAGTAATGTTGGAGCAGACTGTGTCATCTGAAAAAGTGGGCACATTTCTGAATAAACAGAAAACAGGCATGGGTGAAGTGTGTAGGTCACATAAAAATGCTAAAATATCCTATGAGTCTAAGTCACTTAGGATGGGCTTTCGATCAAACATCAGAAGCTAAGAAACTACAAGATGTAAATAAAGTCTACTTTTTCAAGGTCTTGTAAGCCAGTGTGCCATTGTAATTATACCTAAAATGTATGGGGGTGTAAAATGAATCGGAGTTTAGACATGATGGCATGCAGAATTAAATTTTTATTTTCAAATGGCTTCTTTGACCAAAGTAATGAAGATAGATAAAAAGTACAAAAGGCTAGTAGTCGTTTAATAATGTGCATTTTTGGCTACATAGTAGAATCACTATAGGGAGCTTTTAAAATTGCTGTTGCCTTGATTCCACCCCAACCCAATTAATTCAGAACCTTTGAGACTAGGTCCCAGGCACTGGTATTTTTTTAAAGTACCCCAGGTAATTCAAATGTGTACAGAAGCTTATGGTCTAACAATTAGAGAAAGCAACAGGGGGCTTTTAATTAAAGCAGCACAAGAAAACGGGAGTCAGATGATAGAGAGGTTAGGAGAGCAATTAGAGGTTGAAATGTTGTATGAGTTGGCATATTCTTGGTTAAAAGACAGGAGGTAAGTGGAATCTTAAGGATGGTTTATACATTTTCCCTTAAATGACTAGATAGAGGAACAGATGTGTCAGTAGTTAGACAAAGGAAGGGTGAAGATAGACAGTATGCTAGATTTTAGAAGTGCTGACACTTTCAAAGTGATTTGATAGGCATTTGGCTCTAGGTACCTCATGTGATTATTTAATACACAATTTTGAGTGATCTCACCATAGATGACACTATATATGTAAATGAATTTGCCAGGGAGAATACATAAATGAAGAGAAAATTAAAGAGAGACCCCTAAAGAATAGCAATATTCAAGGGGTGGACAGAACCATCTGAGAAGTGACCCAAGTGTTAGAACTAAATTAAGGCACAGCTCTGTTCTCAATAAAGAAGACTTAAGAAGCTTTTGTCAGTAATGATGCATAATAAAGGGCACTTTGTGAAAATAAATACACACTCTACAGGCTCCGATGCTAGGGCAGCTGGAAGGTTGCTACTATCATCTGCAAAAGTAATTTCAGTGCCAAAAAATCAATTTGCATTGAGTTGAAAATATCACCTGAGATATGACTATGTAAATTGTGGGTGGAGACTTGTGCTTCTCAAACTTCAGCATGAATATTAAATCACCCAGGGACTCTTGCTTAAAATGGCAATCCTGATTTAGAAATTCGAGGGGAAAAAGTGAGATTGCATAATGACATCAAACATACAAGTATAAAAAATACTGCTGTGATCCAAGCCATCTTTTAAGCGGCACTGTTTTGTGGAAGGGAAAGACATGATTTACCAGGTGGGTGAAGGAAAAATGAAAAACAAAAGAGGATGTTGATTTGTTTGATGCTTTTCATTTGCTTTTACACAATAGAAGTAAATGTGTTCTAGACAGAGACTAAAGATAGACAAGGGTATGAAATTGAATAACTACCATCAAGAAGTAGAACAGAAGAGATCATAGAAGGGGTAGATGGGAGGTGAGGGGAGAGGATGGGAGGAGATGGGGAAGAAAAACTTTGGTCAATATGTAAAATAAATGAAAAGTGTTGATTAAATTTAAAAAAGAAAAGAGAGTACAAGAATGGATCCATCCAGGTGAGAGACAGAGAGGCATCTCAATCTGAAGAGAAAGAGCAGAGGAAGAACACATATATATATATGATTTTATATTTTAGTGATAGTTTGTGTTCTGTGAATTTTATTTCCTTTATTTTTGTTGCTATACTTGAATGAAGAATCCGTGAAGTGTTCACCTAAGAATAGTGAGTCCACATCACTTTTATGTTATCATTTGCCTTTGTTTATTCATTAAAAAAGTTTGAGAGTAGAGTGTAGAAATGAAATTATACGTGTGCTAAGCAAGAAAAAAAATATATTCCAATGAATGCATAAACTTTGGACAAATTTACAATGATGGATAGCTGTTGTTATATACGTTGCATGTGTTTGGCATGTTAATAAATCTGTGGTGCTGGAACTGTAATGGGACTCTTTAACTCTGCTCTAATGAACTCTTTCCATACCTTTTTTATGCTGTTAGCATTTTATTTGCTGTAGTTGACACCTAATTAGGCAATCACTGCGTTATTGGACAGATGGATTATATAACAAGACACTGTTTATAACAAAACTAGATAGTTTCCTTTCTGTAACTTGCATGTGGCCTAGGATAGTAAAGCGTAATATTTTAGTTATTATATTGATCAGCTTGCTGCCACTGCAATAAATTCTGGAGACAAGCATCTTTAGAAAGTAAAAAGCTGTCTTTTAGCAGTTCACGTCCACGAGTGGGTAGGCTTCTTTGTGTCTAGTGGAGCACACCATGGCAGCAAGCACATGGAAACAAAACCACTCATCAACTCATGGTTACAAAGAAAAAGACAGCGGAAAAAAGATCTGCAAACCCTTTTTCAGGGATTATCTTCATTTATCCAAAGTCTAGGTCATGCCTGTTAAAGATTCCCAGACCCTCCTAACAATGTCAAGGTAGGGAGGACGTAAGTAACATTTCCAAGTACTTATAAATCATTTGTTCCCCCAAATTCAGGCTGTCATGTAAACTGAAAGTCTCCCTGTTTTTAAAATCATCTTTCATCATGAGAATTTTCAGATGATTGATAAGCCAAATAGAACAATAAACCTTCATTAGAAGACTTACTCTTCAACTTCTCGATAGGACTATTTACCATACTTTTAAAATTACTACCCATTCTTTTCTAACCTGTTGATTGGAAAGTGAAGAGACCATGTCTAACTCCACACCATGAATGCAGGGTGTAATTACAAACTAAACACTTTGTCATTTTATTTTATAAATCCTGTTGAAAATCTTTTAAACTTCCATTTTCTGAAGGTGGTGGTTTTTTTTAAAGTAAATTTTATTAAATTATAAAAGTTTCCATTTCCGCCCCTCTTCCCAACACCCTCCCACTCCCCCCACTCCCTCTCCTCCTCCCTCTTCGTCCCTTAGGGCAGTCAGGGTTTCCTGCCCTGTGGGAAGTTCAAGTTCCTCCCCCCTCCCTCCAGGTCCAGGAAGGTGAGCATCCAAACAGACTAGATCCCCAAAATCCAGAATATGCAGAGGAAACAGGTCCCAGTATCATAGTCAATGGCTTTTCAGAAAGACAAGGTGGTGTTTTTTTTTCAGCACTGGATAGAAGTGCTGGCACATTCTACAACTGGTTGAGTAGTATGCTGTTCTGCTGTGGAGGACCGTTTTACTTAGCAATCCAATACTTTGAAACGTTTCCAAAGGAAAAGAAAACTTTGAAAACATTGCAGTGAATATTCAGGAATCCATCATGTAGAATCCAGAGCCTGTTTTTTTTATCACTTTTTTCTTTGTCTACCCCCATCCCTGCTATTTTCTGATACATTCCAAAATAATTCAGTGATATAAATTCACTTTACCTTAAATGCAGCATATATCTCTTTATCTAGAACTCATTAGTCAATGACATTTCTATTGTCCATGCCAGCTTTTGTTTAGCATACATCTAAGTACTCCATTTGATGAGGTTTGATGAATAAAACATACCTACGTGGTGTGTGCTTCTATCAAGATACACAAAGGAAAACTAATCAATCTGGAAAAGGACAACAGTTTTTAAGGTTGGCTCCAGCTTATTTTATCTGACTTTCAGCATGACTGAGTATATGACCAGAGGATTACCAAGGAGAAACATGAATAATGACCATCTAGGGAGATGGATAATGTGGCTCTTGACGTGCTGTTTGCACACGACATCACAGTGTTGGCTAAATTCTTCACGATCCTCCATCTCTGACAGAAGCATCAAGAGACATGCATGTCCCGGCTTGTTACAGCTGGAAAGAGCCCCAGGGCATAGCCAATCTGCTTGCTCTTTGTTTTATCACTCACATTTAAGAAGCCTGGAGAAATATTACATAAGTAGATAATTGCCCATCTTCAGCCCTATAATTGAGAGCAAGCTAAGGACAAGATACTGATAATAAATTGTGACCATTATTTCGTTCAGCTCTGTAGACTGATGTCTTTGCTATGACCTCTATGTTACAATATACTTAGTATACAAATAACAGTAAATAAGTGCTCACTTCAGCAGCATGTATACTAAAACTGGAATGATACAGAGAAGATTTGCATGGCCCCTGAGCAAGGATGACAGGCCAATCATTGAAGCGTTCCATATAAAGAAAAATAATAACAGTAAATTAATGATCACTTCCGTGTTCCAAACAAATGTTAAATGTTTGGTTGATAGTCTGAACATTTTTAATTCAATCATTTATTTATTTTGTTTCTATCTTCTGTGGATTTAAATGCTCAGTTATCCCTGCCATGCTGATTTTTGGAGACAAGGGGAAAAAAGATATTCTACTTGATAATAGGCTAGGACTTCATCATGCCCCAATGATTTCCTTCTCTTTAGTTTCAAACATGTTATAGCATGGTCATTATACACTTTATTTTGACTGTAACTGCATTCCTCCTCTCTTTGTCCTAAAAAGAATAAAGCCATTTTCATACCAGCTCTGCGGTTATTGCCTTTTCCTCTTCTTCATGAATTCCTTCTTGAAAGCCAGCGGGATTTACATTAAATATCATCTGTAATGTTGGTTGATGTCAATTTTACTTTGCATTGGTTGCTGTTAAGTTTTAGAAGATCAAACATTACTCTTGGTATAGCTGCATCTATCTTAGTGCAAGGGTACAGTAATAACAATATCTTTGTTTTATTACCTCAGGCGATAGTATGGGAGGACCCATGTTTTCCTCATCACAAAAAAGATAGTTCGGAGTTCATTGTTTTGATTGTAGTTGGGATGCTTTTTCTTTCTATCTCCTCACAGTGGAGCATATCTGTTTTCTTTCCTTGCTCGAGTGAACTCTGATTTCCCTACAGTATAAGTGTTGCAGCTTGACATTTTCTACTTGGAATACTTGGACACTCTGTGGGATCATTAAGATCTACAGTGTGTACTCCTAGGAGACCATGGGTGTATGCTAAAGACTAAATCTGCTGTTTAGTCTTCCCCATGTAGAAAAGTGTCATCGCCTTGCTTAACAAGGTTCTTTATGCTTATGTCCCTTGCTGAGTTTGGCCATCACAATAACTTTGTACCTAGTCGGCTGTTGATTGCTTTACTTCTGTAGTTAAGAAAGCTAAAATATGCCTAGGAAATTAATTTTTCCAATTACAATTTGCTATTTTGTTACAAAACTAGGGCTGTAATCCAGGACACACCGAAAATCAAGGAGGCTACTTTCTAAAATTCAATAGCACTAAGTCTTAATTCTCAGTCTATGGCATCAGTGCTGAAATTGCTATTCTTTGTTCAATAGCAGTGTATGTTCAAAATAGCAATCATTTCTTTTAAAAAAAATAACAGTCCTTCCTGGGAAAGATGAAAGAATTTATTTCAGTCACAAACGTATATTGATAATCAAACATAGCTCTTTTAAAAACTTGAACTGAAGAACTGGTTAGTACTTAATCAACTGAACTGTTACATTTTCTGCAATATTGTGATTCTTAACATGATTACTGGGTTTCCAATTTGACACTTCTAGAGACCTGTAAATCAGCACACATGCTGTTTCCCAGTCTGTCATCTTGTGTCGTAGCTCTGGTTATTTACTTTCCTTCATTATCCAGCATCTATTTGCTGTGTAAATCAGTTGAGAAGCTTTCTGCAATGGACCTCTACGAGAAAAAAAATAGAGTATATCTGGGTTGATTTTCAATTACACACATGCACAGATTGCCTGGGTTTATGTGCATATATTTTATTATTATTTCACTTTTGCATGTCAGTGGAAACTGGTGTAAATGTAAATCTAACAGTATGGGCTCTAGTGACCAAGTGCATTGCCATAATACATCTTTGATCAATCAATCTCATGGGGAAAGGGTTGCAAGTGTAATAAAATTCTGTAATTTGAAGTGCTGCCCATTATGGACAATTACTATGTCTGCATGCTGTCCAACTACCACACTGAACCATTTCCAGGATAACAGCTTCACTTCGATGAGCTTTAGATTTGATGCCTTATTTCCTTTTCTAAAAAAATTGTTATTTATTTATCTATCTAGCCATTTATTCATTTTACATCCTAATTTAGTTTTGCCTCCCCTCTCTCCTCCCAGTCTCTCCCCCCACCTCCATTTCTATTCTGAGGTCAGACCTCCCATGGATATCAGCAAAACAGGGTATATCAAGTTACAGTAAGATTAAGCACCTCTCTTCATATTAATACTGAGAAAGAAAACCCAATGTGAGGAATAAGGTCCCAAAAGTCAGTAAGCAAGTCAGAAACAGCCCCCACTCCCACTGTTAGGAGTCCCACAAGAAGAACAAGTTATACAACTGTAATACGTATACAGAGGACCTAGATCACGGACCCAGGTTCCCTGGTCATTGGTTCACTCTCTGTAAGGAACTATGAGACCAGTTCAACTAATTCTGTGGGTTTTTTTTCTTGTTATAACCTTGACCCCTATGGCTCCTATAATCCTTCCTCCCTTTCGTCAGCAGGATTACCTGACTATGCCCTAATGGTTGGCTGTGAGTCTCTGCATCTGTTTCCATCAGTTACTGGATGAAGCTTCTCTGGTGACAACTGGGCTAGGTGCCAATCTATGAGCATAGCAGAATATTGTTAGGCATAATTCCCTTGTGTTTGACTCTATAGTAGGTCTCTGGACCATTCAGCCTCTGGGTCCTTGTGCTCCAGGGGAATGCTCACTCTCATGTCATGGGTTTCATGCTGGAACAGTAATTGGTTGGCCACTCACAAGATCTCTCTGCCACCCTTACCCCAGCACATCCCATAGGCAGGAAAGTCTAAAGGTTATGTGGGTGGGTTGGTATTTCAGTCCCTCCACTGGAAGTCTTGCCTGGTCATAGGAGAGAGCCCTTTCAGGCTACGTATTCCCCTATTGCTTGGAATCTTAGCTGAGGTCATCATTGTAGATACCTGGGAGTTTCGCATTTATCAGGCTTCTACCTCACCCCAAGTGCTCCACCCTTTCCAGTGGTCTCTTTCAGTGTCCCCCCCCTCCAAAACACGGTGGACAATAGCTTTCCAATAAAGGTTAGCCATGCTATAATTCACAGACCAAGAGAGGTTAGGTAATAAGGAGGATTCAATGGGGAGCGCTTTGATCTCCCTGGGAAAGGGAAACAAAAGAGATTTCGTGTGTGGACTGGGGGTGGGTAGAGACGGGAAAATGAGGCATCACATTTGATGCCTTCTTTCTTTCATCTCTTGACAAGATGAAATATTTGTAATGCTTCTAAAATTTTCTGCATACGATCATGCAGGGTCGTCCCTGGCGATTACTGCAGTGCCCAACTTTTTTACCCAATAGGTGAACAACTGATTACTCTTCATATTCTAGTTTCTGATGGAGAGTATAATCTAGTTCACTGTCCGGTAAACATTTTTTACACATCCTCCTTTTGTAGTACTGAGGACCAGGCTAAGAGCTCCTGTATGACAGGCAAACTTCTGTGCACTGAAAATTATCTGCAGACACTGAAGCCCTAAACAGTGTTGTAACTACAGCAAATCAATCTATACAATACATATTGCACCTCTTTTGAAAAAACACATAAATTACATATATTAAGTAAAATAATATGTCCATTTCTATGTATAATGAAAACTTTATTTAGCATAAACATCTAAATTGGCAAACTGTCACAAACTGAGCACACCAGTGTAAACACCACACAAATCTAGAAAGAGGGTATTATCAGAAACTTGTCAGAGCCCTTCGTATGTATTCTAGAAACTACCAATCCAGCAAGAGCAAATACTACCCTGAGTCCCATAATCTTCTATTCTTTCCTGACTTTTCATCTTACATTTAATAAAACAGCATATCAGTATCTACTCAATTGTAACTAACTTTTGTACCCCTCAATAATTAGATTTTTGCAATCTGTTCATATTATTGCAAATAGTTTCAACTCTCTAACTCCTCTATATATACTACATCATCATAGAAAGATAGGAAATAGATAGAAGATAGATAGATAGATAGACAGACAGACAGACAGACAGACATAAATAGAAATTTGTATATATTGGTTTAAGAGGAGTGAAAAGTGTGAGTCTTTTGGTAAATATAAATAAGTTTGCATTTCTGTTGTGTATCTGGTAACAATTGCAAGTCAAATAATAATTTGAATACAGTTGACAAATTGACTAGTTCTCTAAAGTCTTGTGAGTCCTTTTGTAAAAGCAATACTCACTCTATAATTCCTGCTCTGCAAAATGAATTCTCATATGTTTACTGTTCTTTCTGTCTTTCTAATATTCATATAATCGCATTTAGTTAGTAATAATAATACACTATTTGTTCTTATTAGCTTCAAGACTTTAAAGTGATTCTAAACTTTAAAATGCATCTAAAATAGCATTAATTTATATAAAAATATATTTTATATTACTTTGTCAATTATTAAATTTAAAACAGGCAAGCAGTATAGCAACTGGGTCTTTGTAACTTGCAATTAAATTGAAAATATTGGAGAAAAATAATTTATCAATGACTTTAACACCACAGGATTCTTCAGCTCACCATACATTTTAGTCTATGAAATTTATATCATATGTTGACTTTCTTTTAGCAAGCCTGATTTTGAGGGATTTTTTCTACAAAAATATGGTTAATATAAATTAGTGTAACAAAACTATGGAAATGATTTCTTAAAGTGTAGTCTTAAAAATTAATTTAGAATCAAAGAAACCAATCTCACAGAACATTTATTGCATGAGATAGCAATTATGAGTGTGAATGAAGACAATAAAATAGGAGTTAAAAACATTATTGGAAAGATGTAAAGCTGAGACATAATAAATGGACAATGAAAAATTTTCAATAAGAATGACTCTACCATATAAGTTCTGGGATTTGAACTCTGATCATCAGGCTTGGAAGCAAGTGCCCTTACCCACTAAACCATCGTGCAAGCAGCTTAATTTCTTTAATGACTATAGTAGTACCAATTTGGGCTAAGTTTCTCAAGAAACAAACCTTGGAATGATAGTTTGAGGAGAATGTGTTTATTTGTAAGGTGATCAAAAGAATTACTTGTAGGGGAGTGGAATAGAGCTTGGGAAAGGAAAGAAGAGGTACGAGTTGATTATGATGGAGGCTATTGTTTTTTGCCATGGTTTGTTC